CAGCATGATTACTAGACGGTTACTAGACTAACCGTAAGTTGTACGTTTGTCGCAAGATATCATGCGACTCACCATAGCGCAAGGAACCCGATGTTTCCTCCCACAAAACGACTGGTTCCTATAAAATACTTCCCTCTTCCAATCACAAGCCCAAATCGCTCTTCTAAACAGCCACCAATGTAAATCTCTATCGGCCTCATTTTCCCGCGTAATTACGACATCTCAAGGAAACCGAACGCATAAGCTGACAATATGAAGTTGAGCGGCACGGCGTGGGGCTAATGCTAACTGGCAGACGGCCCAGCATGGGGTGAAGAAGGAATTTAATAAAGACCTGAGCTGTTAGATCTGGAAATTCTGGGGACTCTGTCGGCTTACTTGAGGATGTTCATGTCATCTTTTTGGAAAAGTGACAATGTTGAATACAAACTAAGCGACGAAGTTAGGCCTATAGGTCTGCAAAATACATAAGGCCTTATCAGATGTAGCTTCAATCTGATTCCTTGTAAATGTTTGGATCTCTTTTGACAATGATTTTTTGTAGAGCTACAACGACTTTTCGTCAAAAAGTTCTTTCAAAACAACGAGCAGTAGAATTTGTCAAGAAATGTTACGATCACAACACACGCACCTTGGACCTTGCTTGGATTCGCGACTCCTTTCTGAAGTGATATAAGAGACTGAAGTTTCAAAGAAGCAATTAATTAATAACACTGATGAAGCCTTGAAGGGCTTCTTGACCCAGTAGAATCCGTAGTATAGAGTTGAACACATCCCGCTGTGTTTGGTCATGTGAGCTTTGTCTTGACACAAAATGTTTTACCTAAGTGCTTTGAGGATTCTGTGATTCTCCTCACTTCAGATCATTTATCGCAGACACGAACATAAAGCTCTCGTGGTATCTTTCTGAAAAATGACAATGTTGATTAAAAACGAAGCGACAAAGTTATAGGTCTGCAAAATGATAAGGCCTTGTCCGATTTAGCTTTCAATCTGATTCCGGGAGCAAAGACTATTACACCTAGTTTGTTCACGGCAACCACCCATCGTGACAGTGTGGTGTGTTCTGTGAGTGTGTTCTCTGTTTTTCTGCCATAAATTATGGAGAAATGGTCTTCGCCCACCTCGAAGTCTCAGGTTCAATTTAAAGCCCCACTCTCTAAAAAGCTCGTCACAAAGGCATGAAGCATACGGTGCTGAAATTTTGTCGACGAAAGGCAAAACTCGCATACACTTTCCCCATTACTGTCAGTGTAATTTGCTATTCTTTGTGTGTGCTATAATCGGCCCAATGAAATTTCTGTATCACGACTGTGGCTTGAATGGACGTGGCGTCTTGAAAGTCAGGGGACTCTGATCATATGTCAAAAATGTTTTAATGTCACGTGACATCAAATTTTGAAGCTATCGCGAATCGCTGCAGACAGAGCGTGTAAGGTCGCTGTTTTAATAATAAGTAATCTAGGATTTTGCCAGAGACTTGAAGTGTTTTGGCCCATAGGATGACGCCGTGGAAGGAAGAGGATGAGTGGTTAACTGGCCGAGGTGTACCATGGCAATGTCTGTGAGATGCTGCTGATATGCAAGGTCTCACTCGTCATGTGCGTGGGAGAATGACACAGGCCTACATTTCAGCATTATCTCACGATTCATTGGATTCCATATATCTCGCGTTCTGTATACAACCGCCACGATACCAAGGAACATGTATATACACACTTGCTGTTGAAAGGGAGGGTAGAAGACACTTGTGAAAAACGGTGCTGTCAGACTGGGATAATATTTCGGTTCATGTAGCGTTTTCTTTCTTTTTCTTTTTTTTAAAATCTAGATGGAATACGGTAACTTTCTCGTCTGTACCTTGGTATCTCCAGATGGGGGGGGGGTAACACCATCTTTACAATTAACAACAAAACTTCAAAATTAGGGGGAGGAGTGGGTTAATCCCCTCAAACAGGTCGTTGATACCCTGACACTGTGAAGAGGACAGTGTGAGTTGTCAGTCACAGACCGCAAGGCACCTGACAGTCCGGGTGCCACGCCTTGGCAATAAATGCCCGATTATTACCTTAATTGTCACTGGTACAATTAATGCTCATTAGCCTGGAATTCCCTCCCAAACCAAGCTGTTATACACAGATTGAGTGACAGCTTGAGGTTTTTGTTGCTGCCGAAGTCAAGTTTCTGATCACTATTAGAACTTAATACGAAGTAATCACAAACAGCAATTTATTAAACATTGCTTTCACATTATGTAGTTTTATTATACTATTTAACATGAAGCGACGCACTATAAATTTATCACAATTATAGCCAATCAAATCCAGTAATTTGGGGGATGTTTCAAACCAACTCTCAGCTCAGGAAACTGAGATTCTTATTCTACAACCGTTTATAACACACCCCTGCTTTTCTTTTATTTTTGCAATGATCCTGCTGAGATGTAATTTTTTTGTATGTGTGAAAGAAAATCAAAGTTGGACTGAATGACTTGCGTAATACCAACATACTCTGTCTCAACGTAAAGGAAGAGGAAGGTTACGAGAGACCTGGATTTTTTCATGAATGGAGACCTACTTCGACAACATGGAAAACTGCCTTTACATACGTTGTACATTTATATACCTCTCGAGTTGCATATTCACTAAGCCGAACGTTCTTGACTTTCCGCCAGTTGGAAATTCATGCTATATAGTTATTTCAGCATTTTCTTGTTGTATCAGGTGGTCTGTATTACACCCACGAACTACAAAAGGTGGTTTCCACAGTCTGCGACCTTGAAGGGAAAAGACCCTGAAATTGTTACAAATTTTTGTTATGACTCCGCGGGACGTGGCTGTGAGATTATTGTAAAAACAAATTGTTGCCGTACGGGAGGGCAGGAAATAGCGTAGTGATTGACAGCTGTGATTAGACTCGCCTGCAGTCGCTTCATGCCAGACTTATTTTGGGATCTCAACTTGATGATAATTCGGTCAGACCAATGTCGGCAATCTGGTTTGGAAAGGGTGATTGTAAGTACATTGGCACCTGTTGTGAAATTACAAGTAAAGTCGTTACTGCAACTTAGAGGATGTAAAGGTTGCTATTGTGATTGATGACTTTCGATTAGGAGAGGCTGGTCGTGTAATTTGGACGGCACATGGCTCAGAAGAAATGAAAACGACAGAATTCGAAAACCATGGCAACCCTCTGAACTCGTGACTGAGTGATTTTTTTTCTGAGAAAAAGAGGCTTCACTTCTGTCCCTCGATCGGACAAAAATATTTCCAGGCTAGGAATCTGCGAGACCTCAAGGACCTCTTGGCAAACATTTCAGACGAAGAACTAACAACATTCTTATCGGGATCAACATAACGTGCCGAGAAAGCGCGAGCAGTGTTCCCCTTCCCCCCTTTCTTTGGCAGTTAAGGGTTCACTTCGAGTGCCCGCAAATTTCAAGTGTTTTTGTTGAGCATCGTGTGCGTCTCAAATTTCCCAGTGTGAGGTGAAAGGTTAAACTGCGCGGAGAACAGAACTGAGACACCACTTTTATTAATGAATTTGCTACGTGTTCCATAACTCCCAATGCTACTGTGGTTTCTGATGCTTCTGTTTCATTTGCCAATGCCAGGTGTCTAGAGTCAGAGGTGACTGTCTATAAACTGCTGATCATCGATGATGATGAGGAGGAGGATAACATATGTTCAAGGGATATTGCTGTTTTTCAACCCTTCCTTTCCCTTCCCACAACATCTTTGGGTCATCCAGTAGTCGCATGTGATCATTATTCGTCTTTCCAATCAATACCAGCCCGCCTGTCTTGTGTCTCCCCGACTCCATCTTGGTCCTTTCGTCGCCCCTGTCATCCGCCCTGTGATGCCAATTAGCCCATGTCACGGGGCCCCTTCACGCACCCAACAAATAAAACGTCACAGTCCTTAATTAGCCCCACGAGGCAGCCCAATTTGTCCAACTTACCACTGGGAAGTAAAGCCCGACCTTCTTCCCTAATGATGCCTTCATCGTGCAGGACTTAGTTCCCCCCCCTAACATCCACCACCAACTCCATTCATTGGGTCCTTATGCCAAGAAAACACCCATTCATAATGGGGGGCATCAATAAGCGGGGATCATGTTTAGTTGTGGAGGGGGACAGATCCAGGGATCAGCGCCGATCACAGCGGGGTTATTCCGGGTTGGTCGCAGCAACAATAAATTCTGGATTAGGGTTGACGCTGATGATAATCCAACGGGCTAGGGCAGGCTGTCATCACTCGACAGTGCGGCACAATTCCTTGAAAATACCATTCAGTCCTGACTAAAGCTTGACAGGTCTGCTGCTCTGGAATGACAAGACATTATAAATTCCGTGTATAGCTAGGCGTATGGTTACAGCTAGTGCAGTGTCACATAATGTTATTCTGTAGGCCTAAGTGTAATATCAAATTTACGTCTGGTAGCATGTGAACTCATTTAAGTAAAAGAGAGAACGCCTAGCGCATTGAATCATATTTTAAGATATATTTGGGAATCAAGCACGCGGGAATTCTTTCGCAGTTTACACGTTTACTAATATGATTTGCAGAGGACAAAAATATGTCAAATTACCCGACAACAAAGGATCATCCTCAACTGCTGTTTGACAAGTCAATCGCCCAACTATTGCAAGGTCCAGCGCATGAAGCAGTCATTGTCGATGTTTTTATTTTGACTCCAAATAGTATGCCTGAACACTCAAATAAAATGCCTTAAACCAACAAGCACCGCCGTATCTCTGTGCCCGCACACTGTACTTGAACATGGACAATAATTCGGTTGACTCCAGGGTAAACCAGTAGGGTCACATGACGTAGCCCAGAGAACTCAAAGTTTAGAAATGAAAATTGTTTTTTGATGGTCCCCCGAGACCTGTCAATCACAGCGCGCAAGGAGGTGAACTGTGAACCGTCATTGTTCCCATATGGCCAGTGGGAAGTTAGCTGCCGGCGTGGCGGTTAGAGGGAACATAACATTTTTCCCGCGATATATGTTTTATTTTGTGTGCTTGTCAGTCTGATGTTATTTTTTTCTAGTTGTTTTGCCGGGCAAGTTAGGGATGGTTAAGTTCCTTTTCACGAAGCTGAACGAGTACTACACAACTCGGAATGACTGATCAGCTGGATGAGATCCTAACTCCAATGCTTTTGTTTCTTCTGTGAGCGTTTTGTACGTGAGATATATGTTGTGTCAGGTATGAGTAACGACTTGAATATCTATACAAAGTTGTAAATGACGAGCATTGCGTTGATTTATCGATGATAAATATCTCCTATCACACACCAGAGGGCATAGGCTTACCACAAGTTTGAGTCTAGTTTGAGCCACGGACTGAAGAAAATCAAACCGATTTACTTAATTAACAATCGCAGACTATCAATGTTTATTTCAAAGCCAGACTGCTTTCTCAACGTTCTCTTTTACCTTCTCCCTTTCCTTTGCCCCGCTCTTTCTTTACTTCATTTCCCACTCGCTCCCCCTCTCTTGACAATAAGGGCCAGTTGGTGAGCGGGACCGCGACGGTCACGCCCACTTCCATACCCGCTAATTGGAGGATTGATTACATGACGGACAGGTGACGTCACGTTTGAATGGGGCATAATGAGATGACAGAAGAGTGACAGCCGGCACCGTTGACACCTCGCTGGCAGGTTGTTGGCTACGGGCTGTGAGAATCGTCACATTGAGACATAAACGGAGCCCAGACTGCTCAGACGGGACACAACTTCCTAATGCTTCGGGGTTAACTATAAACCTCGCGGCATCTCCACTGTTGGGTCATTAACAAAATCGACATCCGTGTGTACACATCTCCACCGGTGTGTTATCGCTGGTACGGAGGAAGAACTGCCGATTAGACCCCAGGAAAATACCGCTTGTCCTGCAAGTTTTTCTTATTGACAACTGGTTTAGGCCCTTTTCCTGCTGTCCATTACAACCGCTCCGCTGGACTTACGTTTCGGGAAAAAATCGCACCTAATGGGACACAGTTTTGAGAGAACTTAGTCGTGCATAAAATGTGAGTGCTATTTGAACAGCGAGTGACTGAGTGCTGCCAGTGTGGTATATTACTGGGATCAAGCTTTGGACTCCGACGTGACTGTTAGTCTTTGCTTCGTGTGACTCGAGCGCTGGTTGCGCTACTTGCGTGTACATGTGGTAGCTGTCGCACGGTGGCTTGTATTTGACCAACGGCTCTGTTTGTACACCGATCAACGCTGTGCATACACAAAGACACGGACTTGTGAGTAAAAAAATCTTGCGGCTCTGTATTTCATATCGCGCTGGTTAGGCTAGAGGGAGACATGGCTTTCTCCACAGCTCCCTCGCTTCGGTGTGTTTTCATCGTACTCTGGATGTCTCTTACTGCATGTGCAGCCACCAGGGACGTCAAATGTGAACCGATAACTATTCCCATGTGCCGTGATATTGGCTACAACATGACTTACATGCCCAACCAGTTTAACCACGACACACAAGACGAGGCAGGGCTGGAAGTGCATCAGTTTTGGCCGCTGGTGGAGATCCAGTGCTCGGCGGACTTGAAGTTCTTTCTCTGCAGCATGTACACGCCGATCTGCGTGACCAACTACAACAAGCCGCTGCCGGCCTGCCGGTCGGTCTGCGAGCGAGCCAAGGCCGGCTGTGCCCCGTTGATGCGGCAGTACGGATTCGCCTGGCCAGAGAGGATGCGATGCGAAGACCTTCCGGAGTTCGGCAACCCCGACCAATTGTGCATGGGATTCAACACCACCGAAAAGCCTACCCCTAAGCCGACCATACCGACCATCACCAAGCCCCGTCAACCCCGGCCAACGGACAGCGGCTGCCCATGCTCCTGTAAGGACCCGTTCCTGCCAGTCCCACCACAGCATCCGTACTACAACCGAGTAAGCACCGGGGAGGTCGCGAGCTGTGCGACACCTTGCAACGGTGCCTTCTTCTCGCCCGACGAGAAAACATTCGCCACCTTCTGGATTGGATTATGGTCGATCCTGTGCTTCGTGTCGACACTGACGACCGCCCTTACGTTCTTGATTGACATGGAGAGGTTCAAGTATCCTGAGAGACCTATCATCTTCCTGAGTGGATGCTATCTGTTCGTCTCCTTAGGGTACATCATCCGGCTCATCGCTGGCCACGAAACAGTGGCATGCAACGGAGAGTACATCAGGTATGAGTCTACTGGCCCGGCCGTCTGCACCATCGTCTTCCTCCTCATCTACTTCTTCGGAATGGCCAGCTCCATCTGGTGGGTTATCCTCTCTCTGACGTGGTTCTTAGCAGCAGGTATGAAGTGGGGCAGCGAGGCTATCGCCAGCTATTCCCAGTATTTTCATTTAGCAGCCTGGCTTGTCCCCAGCATCAAGTCCATCGCGGTGCTGGCCCTCAGCTCTGTGGACGGTGATCCAGTGGCCGGCATCTGCTTCGTGGGAAACCAAAACGTCGAGAAACTCCGGGGTTTTGTGCTTGCCCCACTCTTCGTCTATCTCATCCTGGGAGCAAGTTTCCTGATGGCTGGGTTCGTCTCCCTGTTTCGCATCAGACATGTCATCAAAGCTGGGGGCAGCAAGACGGACAAACTCGAGAAGCTCATGATCAGAATCGGGGTTTTTACCGTCCTGTACACAGTGCCAGCCACCATAGTGATCGGCTGTTACTTTTATGAGCAGCACGCCCGTGGCATGTGGGAAAGGACTAAAACATGCGACTGCGGCAACACAGAAGTTTCCCAACCTGACTATTCGGTATTCATGCTGAAGTATTTTATGTGCCTTGTCGTTGGGATCACGTCGGGGGTCTGGATCTGGTCAGGAAAAACTCTGGAATCGTGGAAGCGATTTTATTATCGGTTGTTTGGTAAGAGAGAACTTGACAGAATCGGTAAGCCAACTAGCCCAAAGGCCGTTCCATTAGCACATGTTTAATCAAACTGCAAAGACACTAGAAACCATTAAGTGCTTTCAAGAACTTGTTTAACGTATAATATATTACTAATGTGCTATGTCGACGTACGCATTGCCTGATGTATTGCTACCCCTTCGAAGAACTGGCAACTGAACACAAAACACTGAAGATGTGTAAAGAAACTGATTTTATATTAAGCTTTTATTAGGCACACTATGCCCCATATTATGTACCGTATCTCGCGATGGATTACATTCTGCTTAAAGGAAGTCCTACGTAGGCTTGTATGTCTGATTGTTTTATCCCCGCCATGGTTGACTCTTGTTGTCCCCACTCAAGCGAGCGGGTAGCAGCAGAGCAAACACTGGTTACATCACCCACGTCAACACGCTCTCTGCTGGCGTTCAATGCACGCTAATGAAAGATACGGGTTTCTAAAAAACTTTCTCCCCTTTTGTTCGTATGTGTACCGTGTTCTTAGCGGGACAAATGCTGGGTAAACGGTGCCATACCCCACTAATGGGGGCAGTGAGTAAAGAGTGTATTGAGCTTTGTTCAAGCACAGGCAGCAAAGGTTCTTTTCAAAGACGTGGCCCAGTAACCCCACTCAGTGATTTTCGGGTACATGTTTTCTTTCCTCCATGGGTACATGAATAAACTGAGTGAAAAAAAGTGTTTTTCTCACAAGAAACTAGTTGTCTTAAATTCCTATTTTGAAACTTGCTTGTCTGAACTCTGCTTAAGATAGTACACATTTTTATTTTTGTAACATAAGTTGTATATTAATTGCACTGAAACTATATACGACAGAAGTATCTTTTTCTAATGCCTGGGGAATGCTCCCTCTGTGGCGTTTCCATGAATGGTTTAGTCACATTCTCGATGTGGTTCAAAAATTGGGTTTACAACTTGCCTCCGGAGCAAAGGGTAGCGGCGAAGTGATAAATTGTATCAGTTCCCCCTTCATTCTGAGATGGTCACCACGTGTACACAGACATTTCCTGGCTGTTCTCAGATCTCTTGGATGTAATACAAGTGTGGCATGTCCGGGTTGTGTGTGCCCGCAGGCGCCAAAATATTTGACTGATAAGTGACATTCTTATGTCACTGATGTCACTGATTCTGATGTGCCCCTGTGACAGCCATTAACTTAACATAACTGAGATAGAGCCGTTGGCTGCATTCAACTTCAACACTTGGTTCGCATTTGGCTTGTGTGTCTCAGACAAACTACATTCCTTTCTCATATTCACCTTAGTTAAATAAAATTTTCATTACATTTGATAATTTATTGAATCACCGCATTTCCTACACCTTTGGAGTTTCAACCTCGTCCCTTCATTTAAGCAATTTATCATTCGTTGCCGGAAACTCAGCATTCTCGCTGCTGGTGAATTATGAGTCTGTGACGTCACGTGGTGACAAAGTACCATCTCGGCTGTTGTGGTAATGATAAATTACATGTTTACCGAGTAAATATGAAACTCTGAACTCCTCAATATGGCCGATGTTAGAAATGAACAGTCTGTGTTGCACAGTATGCACTTGTGCTTATTGCAACGGGGTTCTAAACATATGGTTGTAATTAACCATTTCTCAAGCATTCACTTGAATATAAATTTTCTTTATAAAATGAAAAACGGATGTATCTATCGTGTACAATTTCTAATAAATATTTTAAACAGGAAACCAGTCTCTATAACTAGCTGTTAGTATGTAATTGATCATGTAGCTGGTTTCATTGGATGTAGATTTGGTATTCGAAAATCTTACAAAACAATGGCACACGGTTACTGTTTTACTGGACAAACGGTTACGTTTCAACTTCTGACGCTGATTACTTGGGTACATGCACATGTACATGAAAAGCTGATTCTGTAATAATTGTGAGAGATACATTTTATGCAGTTGTGCAAAAGCTTAACAAAGGATTGCATAATGTTTCAGAATTGTTGTTATGAAGCACAGTGTGCCACGCATGTGTACATGCTCATGTAGTATGTAATTGTTCAAGTGTAGACAAGGGACGCAAATGCGTTCACGTTATTGCTTGTTAAGTTTCTGCCTCTGCAGTTTCATGAGAAGGTGTGTTGGTAGTGTTCAAATGAGGCATGTAACAATGATTATTGGAAATCGAAACACCGATGACACTTTTATTGTCACAGGAAATTGATTATTCACTCGGGTTTCAGTGGGATTTTGCGGCCAAGATGGGGGAGGATACAAATTGATAGATCGTATGACACGCACAACCCGCAGTCTCACAGTCACCCATTATAACCTCTAAACGCTTGTATTAACCGAGGCAGAAAAAAAGATGTATTTTAATGTTGTCCTTTGTGGTAAAATTGACACTTAAAGTGATGTGAGGAAAAATACAGAGGGAGAAGGAGACCAAACTGCGTGCATGCTGTTTTACATGTCCGTCGAACGTGTCCAGATATGTCATGTCTTGAGAAGTTTTTTATTCTCTCCTTTTTCACCAGTAAGAGTTACGAATTGTACCCACTGGCGTGTCTTCCTGTAAGACCCTCTAATTTGTCAGCCTTGTGCTGGAAGCCACTCTTGCAGAATGGCATTACCGGGCGTTTGGGCAGACTGAATGGGCAATTAGAGCCGCTCATTATGGCTGTTCTCGCCCCCATGTGGGCATTGTTACAGACGGGCCTGCTAGTATTATAACTCTTGGTACACAGCTCATTGAATGCCATAACAATGGGGCTTTGGTTAGGAGCCACTAATCCGTAGGCTGTCTATCTCCTGTCTTCCCGTCTCTTCTTCTCCACGTTTCCACTCGGCACATACACAGATCTGGGGTCTTCTTTCAAGTTATCAGGGAACTCTTTTAGCTCTATGGGAGGGGGGTCGATTGTGTTTCCATTTGTTTACCTGGTATTGCAGTGTCTCTAAAGGACTTACAGTGATAATGTCGCTGACTTAATTTAGATATTTATTATTTCATTCATCAAACCGTCTTGAAAGAATTTCATGAAAAGTGCATAAATTCCAACTCTGAAATGAACTTGTTTTCCGACATTACGCCACGGTTTGGTCATTCGTTTCAGTGTGTAAGGTCTGTGGTTAGAGACCGGTGCACAGGGACCTTTTTTAACATCTTAAGGGAAAACATTAACAATGAAAGGCTCGGAATTTGACGGCGAGGGTGATTATTCTCTCCGGAATCTGGTCACCTCGTAGCCGCCCGTCTTCATGCTCTTTGGAAGTTCTCTAAACCCTCCCAATCCCCTGTCCTTAGAAACCCAGTGGCGCGTGAATACATTGTTTATCTTGCCAAATACTGCTGAGCGCCCCTTATCGGTCCGTCAAGAAATGTCCTAATTATGTGGGCGGGACTTAGCGTCTTCCTAATGAGACCAGGTCTGCTTCGTGTGGACTGGAGCGGGTTTCCCTTCTCTGTTGTGTTCATGGTTCCACCATCATTGGCGCTCCTGGCATGGAGGCCTAGGTGAACGCAGTCGGGAGCTCAACCAGCCTTGAGGCGACGGCTGTTTAGGAAAGTAAACAAATGTACATGGCGGCTTGCCGTCACTGCCCAAATCCTCGAAAGTACCAGCATGCAGCCTAGATCTCCTTATTTCCGGAAATATTTGATGCTTCAAATTAATTCAGGTTACACCTACGTGTTTCCATGGTGTTTCTAATCCTTGTTCGTGCCACGTTATGGAAAATGATATAAACAATTTGATTGAAGTGGTTTAGAGAGGTAAAGAAAAAGAAACAGATAATCCTATTATGATCATGCATTTGAAAAGTGTATTTTAGATTAGGCCTATGACATTATCGTCGACTGCATCCAAAAATCTGTTAATAACGCGAAAAAGTCTATTCGCTGTGAAAGATGAAGGTGAATTCTCATGGTTATGATGTTCAGTCATACTCAGAGCACTGGTGATTTCTCCGTAATGATCGGAGCAATTTGTCATCGTTGATAGACCACTGATCTATTTTAATCACGGTTAAATAAACTCTCGTGGCTGTCATGAATCAAAGGCGTTTTACGAGACATGTGTATTCTCTCAAATTAAGTTTTGACGGGCGTTGACCACCACCACAACACAATAAAAATTGTCTAAGTCTGGCGGAGTGGGTCATAAACCATGCAGACCGTGTCAAACAGACGGGGCGACCTGTCAGCGGGTAATGACGTGTGTCACTAATGGACCTGTTATACAAATCGCCGGGGCTGACGGTGGGGGGGGCGGTTCAGACATGGCGGCCCGTGGAGCGCTGGTCCGAGTGGTGGTCGCGCGACATGCAGCCACGGGAGGAGAAGGGAGCGCGCGGCAGGTAGGCCCAGGCGAGGACTTGGCTCCTCAAGGTTGGACAGCGGGGTTTCCACATTGGTTACATAAGTCTTAGAGTCTTAACGAGGACAAAAAATGAAAAAGAAGCAAACACGTCTTGCGCGACGGCACAGATGTCTTGCTTTATGACTCCCAGATCTCCAGGGGTTTCTGAGACGCTTGATGAGGAGATGCCGGAATGAAGACAGCGGGGAACTTCGTGGCTTCTTTTTTCTTGTACAATCGTCTTGGGACCTCACGAGGGATTTGTCACTCGAGGAGAAAGAATTCATTCTTTGAAGGTTGTTGTTAGCTTCAAGTGTTGATTATAGCACTCATCAGAGAACAGAACGGTCCACATACTGTATGCAAGATGGTTCGATTAAGGCCGGAGAAGGAGCACGTTCCTTTAACCAAGCTTAAATACATAGAGCAAGGAGCAACAACAAAGTACATGCACTACACAATCCCCTGATCTTAAAATCATTCAGATCCAATACCTTCCTTTCTCTGTCATCTCACCAAACTCCGTAGCCAACGTCATCTGTGCCATCTTCCTTTCATACATTCAGATAATTTCATCACCGATGATAGCATATCATGCCTGTTTATCTCTTGCATAATTACATAGTAGTACTACCACTGGAAAGTCTTCGAGTCGGCATCTCTTCGTGCACGCTCTCGAGAAATTCAAACCGGTTGTCATCAAGTTCATACATGCAGGGGTTGTTGCAGCTTCCTGTGATGTGGATCAAATTAAATAATCCAACTCACAACTGGCGAGCTCTCGGCACGAACATCGTGTGAGCAAAATACAGTTCTGTGGGGTTGAACAAATGCCAACCCAAGGCCACACCAGTCAACCACATTTAGAAAAATCAACAAACAGTATTTGCGGTGACATTCATGTCGTAAACATGCCAACAATAAAATGTAACGCAGGGAGTGATTTGTTACAAGACACAGAACGACCAGACATAGACATAGCTGGACATTTATATCCCCTGGTGATGATGGAATTATGAAAAATTCTCCTTTGAACTAATACGTAATGTGGCAATAGGATATGCAATTTAATGTATTCTCTTTGCCCATCGGTGAGTGTGACTACTTTGAAAGTAATTTGTATCTCATTGAATATCATTGGAACAAATACTTAAAGTATGTAGGGAAAAAGCCTGAGATCAAGTAAATCTTTTGTGGCCTGCATTGTTTCCAACTGCGTCTTCAGTTAAAAATTTTGATTTTCTTTTTTGAGGGGGGGTTGTACAGTACCCAAGTCTGTTATATCAGCATAACAAACGCCATGAAGAAACCGCACAACAGTTCGC